CTCATTTCGCTTAACATGATATTTTCCATGTAGTATCACTTGTATGTAAATTTCATGACTTCATCTTTTCTAACAGCTACATAGTACTCCATTGTGTAAATGTACCAACATTTCTTTAACCAGTCATGTGTTCTCGGGCACTCAGGTTTTTAAAGTCACGCCAAAGCAAGCTTCTTGTTAGAACAGAACAGAATTTCACCTGTTTAGAGCAAAATTTCCCACAAAAAAGCTCTTATAGTATGACACTGTCTTTAGCAATGTGCAGAAATCATTTCAGTTCATCCGCCCAAATACATATGAACTGGGCATTACTGTTTTCCTGTTTTTAGCGGTGTAGAACTCAAGCTTTAATGTCTGCATTCACACAAGCAGGCGAGTGGTAGAGCCAGAACTGGAATCCAGGGTGGTGGATCTGAAGTCTGCAGACCTTGACTGTAGGGTTCTTCTCAGAAGACTGGTATATGGATTCCTTTATTCTTTTTTTTTTTTAAAAAAAATGCATATTCTCCTTTGTTTTTTAAGTGCTGAGAGTGAGTGAGGGGGGAATCATAAGAGCTTTAATAAATGAATTACATAATTAAGAAGACTTTTCAATAACTGGTCAGGTGTCAGTTTACCGCTGTTAAAAAGAACAGTCTGTAGGGACCAAACATAATGGTCACTTAGCACCTGTATTAAAAGCCATACACCCAAAAGGAGAGAGAGGGTAAGAGGGCACCTGCCACAAAGGCGGGTGGGGGCTGGGGGTGGGGGTGGGAGGGATACTGGGAACATTGGTGGTAGAGAACCAGCACTGGTGGAGGGATGGGTACTCGGTCATTGTGTGATTAAGACATAATCACAAAAATTTGTTAGTCTGTAACTGTATCTCACAGTGAAGCATTAAAAAAAATAATCAACCAAGCACAAAAATTTGTAAGTCTGCAACTGTACCTCATGGTGTTTCACTAATAAAAAATAAAATAAATAAAATAAAAATCGACTTATTGTTAAAGAAAATTAAAATAAAAGTACACCTGAAAGTGTTTCAAAACTTGGAAAAATCATTGTGACACTATCAGCTTTAATAAATGCAAGTTAGACTCCCTGTTAGTCACCTTTATCATATTAAATATAAATGTAGCTAAAAAAAATAACCACATGCCACCAGTTCCTAAGAGAAAAACAAACAAACAAACAAAAAAATGAGTCCATCATTGTCAAAAGAGAAACCGTTGTCTTTTGCGTTCAGCTTGCAAACTGCAGCCATTGTGACCACACAGTTTTTTGTTTTTAGGCTGCCACATTAAATGATTTGCTGACTAGATGCAGCATGAAGGCTGGAGAGTATAGTGGGTACAGCCCTTGCCCTGTGTGTGACCCACTTGGGTTCCATCTTGGCAGCACATACCCTGGGCCCGTGCCGGAGTGATTCGTGTGCACAGAGCCAGCACTAGGACCTGAGCACAGTCAGGTGTGGCCCCCAAACGGATACGGTGTGAACAGCACTGCCAGTGATGAGTAATACCAAGCTCTGCTATACACGAGCCACCACACTTCCGTAGCCAAACAAGGCTGCCTTTAGCCCTTTGGGAACCTCTGCACCAAGTCTGGGAAAATGTCTTTTTGCTGGATGCTGCTGCTTCCACCAGAGATCCTTCCTGCTGTCCTGTGCAGGGAACAGCTGTGTGGTGGTGGCAGCTGGTGGCCTCTTTCTAAGGACACTTTTTGCAGACATTGACCCAGGTGGTTATTCCATGCATTTGTGCTCTCAGGAGCTTCGCTAAGACTTGTTTTTTTGTTTTTGTTTCTTTTTTAATTTTTATTAGTGAAACACCATGAGGTACAGTTGTAGACTTACAGATTTTTGTGCTTGAGTTTCAGTTATACAGTGATCCAGTACCCATCTCTCCACCAGTGCCCATTCTCCATCATTTACATTTTTAAAAAAAAATTTGTTAGTGAAACACCATGAGGTACAGTTGTAGATTTACAAATTTTTGTGCTTGGGTTTCAATTGTACAATGATCAAACACCCATCCCTCCACCAGTGCCCATTTTCCACCACCACGGGTCCCAGTATCCCTCCCACCCCCTATCCCCCCATCCCACCTTGCCTCTATGTCAGGGCATTCCCTTTTGTTTTCTCTCCCATAGTGGGCACTTGTCTAACTAGATAGATCAACATTGTCCCATTGCCATCCCACACTGTTGGGTCTGACATAGAGCTCTGCTAACGCTGATATGATGTCACTTAGGCATCTTTGACTTCCAGACAGGCAGGTTCTCCTGTCTAGTACGTTTGGCTTTGGGGATTGGTGTGACCCCTGCTGTGGTTTCCAAGGCCTGTGGTTCCTTGCACAGCACGGCTCTAGGCCTGCCAGGGCAGATTCATCTCCAACCCACACGAAATGCCAGGCTGGGACTAGGACGGCTGCCCACGATGGATCTTCCACACATACCACATCCATCTCATCTCTTCGTCCTCTCCTGACTTATCAACAGGCACCTACATGCCCGGACTCAGAGCTCAGTCTTAGTAGAAAGCCAGAGTTACCTTTGTATAGCACAGTGTCGTGGCATACATATTGAGTATTGTTATGAGAATTTTGTAAAATATAATTTCTGCCTTTTCTAAAATTGACTGAAAATGCAACCAATATGTTGTTAAGTTGCCTTATGTTCAGTGCCAATTAAGCAATTTGCTTTGGAATTAGCTTTATTGAGGGAAAGACCACTTTATTTCATTAATCTACTTTCTTTGCCATGGGCAGAGGCTGGCAAGCTCTCCGTGGAGTATTCGATATGCCAAAACCAGTAACTATAACAGGTCTCAATCCCCTGATGCTGAAAGAGCCTCCAGTTGTTGGGAAAGGCAAGTAAGGTGAGGCTGCTAAAATCTCAGGGCTGGGACGAATGGAGACATTACCCCGCCAGCTTGAGTAAATTGATGAATAATGTGATGACAGTGATACAGTGATACTTTTTTTGGCAAGAAATACCAGGAAGCTCAAACCCACAATCATGTGTGCCCCATCACCAACCTAGTGTCGGCATTGTGGTCAGCTATCTGCTTCCTCTTGTTATCTATCTCACATACATGTCCTTGACTGCAAGTTGTCCTAAATCCAACCCACTACCTTTTGTTTGGAAAGTTAACAGCCTATATAATACCTGTTTTTATTTTTAAAAATATGAAATAAAGCCAGGTGGCTTTCAGTGTAGGTTCGTCTAAAGATTGTAAAGCTACGAAAACATAATATGGTTAGCAATTTCAGCAAAGTTATATATTTCTCTAAAATGCAAGTTCCCATGTTGCATTTATGGTATTACTTAATTGTGTTCATATATCCTGGCTTCACCTCGTCCTTAATGGACTTACTTTGTCTTCTAAGCATGACCATATGCTTTTGTGATTTTATTCATGTGGACTAGTTCATTTGATCACTGCACAATTGCGAGTAGATGTAACTACAGGGTGTTCACTGTGCCATGACAAAGTTCCTGCTTGCGTTCACTTTAAATCAATCTCACCTCTTCTCTCTTGCTCTTGTACACTGTCCCTGCCATGCAGTGTCATTTTTACTGCAGTCCTAGCATGGCCTTCCATTCTGTGTCCCTCTTCTCGTTCATAACTTTATTTTTAAGACAGTTTCAATGTTAGTATTCTATTGCTTTGTCAGGGCATTAGGATTGTTTTATTTAGCACCTCAAGGTGATATTTTGTTTTGTTTTTGATTAAAAACCCAGATTAGGGGCCGGAGAGTTAGTGCAACAGGCTAGTCACTTACATGTAGCCATCCTGGGTTCGACTTACAAAGCTTAATATGGTCCCCTGAGTCCCATCAGGAGTGATTCCTGAGCACTGGCAGGTGTGGCCCCACACCAAAAAAACTGTATTGCTATTGATTTAAAATGACATATACCTATAAGATGGAGTAGACCTGTTCTGAAAGAAACCTACTCATCTAGCAGGGAACACACTATAAAATTCTGGTCAAATGGAGTAGAAAGAACAGCCTTTTTAGCATGGACTTCAGACTTATACAGTGGTCGGGGTCTGTTCCCCACCTCTCACTCACTTGCCCATTTTCCCATATCACACCACCTGACACTTGGCCCGACTAACCTTCTCCCCTGCACAAGCCTCATTTCCACACCTCAACAACTTTGCCAACTCCTCCCTCCAAGTGGGAGATACCCCAGGACCACCCACTTTAGTCTCAGCTTCAGACTCTATCATTGCCTCATGCAGGCGCAACCAGAAAATGCCGTTCACACACTCCCTTCATCACAGTTAAACACTTCCTCTTGCACTTGCTACTTTGTACTTTGCTCTTATAGCATCCGTGCTTTTGGCCAGAATTCAAACATGTGTCCTGGTAGTTGTCTAAGTTCCTTTGAGAACATTCCTGATTGATCTGTGTGCTGTTTCTACCTCTACGCTCACCTCATTGCAATCCCTTTCCATTGTGACAGACACTTTTAGATCTATCACGTTGAATCAGTGGCAGTATGTTTGAGAGATCATGTCCCATTGAGCATCTGTTATTGGTGTTCCTTAAACCCACAAAAAAATGGAGATGAATAATAGAATATGTGGAGTATTGAATACTTTCCAGAGTTTTATGAAAGGGGATTTTACTTACAGAGACACTCCTGTTGCTTCTTTCATGTTCATTGATTTTGGCAAACACCTCACATGATTCTATTATTTCAGTAGTAGGCATCTTGACACCTACTGATCTCAGGAGGTATACTTTTAGACATTTCCTGTGCTTTTAAAAGATTTTTTAAAGATAATGAATTATTTCAAATTGCATGGTGCAAGAAAATATAGTGGGAAAAGTTTTGCATTTATTCATTTATTTATTTTTAAATAGTTTTAAGAGACTAAAATCCTCTGTGTAAAAGTAGAATTATGCTTATAGTTTGCCAGAATGCTTGCTTCAGTACAACCATAATAACTTGTTCATTTCAGAAAGTCAGTACAATTTTTAAAATATTTTCTATTTTTACAGGTGGTTGATAGTGAAGGATTCCTTTTTACTCTACATGAACCCAGACAGTGGTGCTATTGCCTTTGTTCTGCTGGTGGATAAAGGATTCAGGATTAAAGTGGGGAAGAAGGAGACAGAGACAAAATATGGACTCCGAATTGATAATCTTTCAAGGTAGTGTTTACATTTTAAAAAGATTATTATTAAAATCTCTTAAAGATTTTCCTCTCAATCTTAAAAAAGAGTTTTTTAAAATTTTTCTTCTCAATCTTAAAAAATGATATAAAATGGCTTTGATGTTAAAAAAATAATTATTTGTTATGCTGTGGTAACATATACCTTGAACAGGTATGAAATTATACTCCCAAACATGTATAGTCATATTTACTCATCACCTACTTTCAAAACAGTGGCACTTAGAACTTCTCCCCAATCAAAAGCAATGGTGCAACTTTTCTTTGTATGTTTTGTTTGTTATTAGATTTGGGGTCATAACCTGCAGTACTCAGGTCCTACTTGGAGCTCATTGCTAGAGAATAATGCTTGGGATTAAATCCAAATCTCAAACATGAAAAATTTTTGCTCCATTCCCCAGATAGCACCTGGGCCCCAATATTTAAAGAATGATGTATCTTATGTGTAGTGACCAGAAAAATTGATAATTCACCTTTAAACATACATTTTACTTTATAAACTGATATCCTTTAATATAACAGATAAAAGGTGATTTACACAATACTGTTTACACATGAATTTCAAGGAAAACATTTTGGAAGGATATTTAAGTGTATGTTACAGTAGGTTTTATCAGCAAGTGTACTTGTTAAGTACTTCTGGAAAATCAAATTTATGCAATATATGTGTGTCCTTAAATACAGTTGACCTTCTAACAACCCACTGGATTAGAAGTCCCTTTTGGTCTAATCCATGAACACAGACTCTGTAGATAGAGAAAACAAAATCCATGTATAAGATATTGCATGCAGCTCACATTTATGTTGTTTAAGGATAAATTTTATAATAGTTTGTTCTATAAAGTTCAGCATCATGCATATAAATACACACACATACATACACACACATGCACACACACACACACACACAGACACGCTTATTCCCTGACTAATACTTTTAAAAGATGCTGAATTTCCTGTTCTTCTTTGACAATAAAAGATTCAAGTTGAGGATTAGTTATTGGACATGTAATGTTCCTGTATTCTTGTCTTCCAGAGGGCCATAGAAATCAGGCTACAATTCTCATTTGTCATTAATAGCCACTTGATCAATTGTCTTATGTTCATTTGATGTCCTCATTCAGTATCGGGGACACCATTGTTAAATGGAAGCTTCCAAAGTCAGGTTTCAACCGTTTTCTAGTTCAAGCACTCTTGCTCATTTTATAAAAAGTACCTAAATTGAGGCTGAAGAGAGGGTATCATGGGGACTGTGCTTGCCTTGCATGCAGCTGAACTGAGTTCAATCTCTGACACCCCACATGGGCCCCCGAGCCCTGTCTGAAGTGATCCCTGAGTACAGAGCCAGGGATAAGCCTTGAGCACTGCCAGATGTGGCCCCTCAAAAAAAATGTAAAATTCTAAATTCCCCACCCTTATTTTGCTTTTGGTGCCAGAATCAAACCCAGGATCTCCTAGAGGGGAGACATATGTGCTACCTCTGTAAATACTCAGCTCCAAAGCCTCCATTTGTATTCTGAGCCTTTTGATGTCTCCATCTTTCTTTGCAACTCTTCTCTAAAGCAACTTCTGTGGAGTCCATTCTTTTCTTTTTTTTGAATATTTTTTGTTTGTTTGTTTGTTTTTGTTTTATTAGTGAAACACCATGAGGTACAGTTGTAGACTTACAAATTGTTGTGAGATACAGTTGTAGACTTGCAAATTGTTGTGCTTGGGTTTCAGTTATACAATGATCGAGTACCCATCCCACCACCAGTGCCCATTCTCCACCCCCACCAATCCCAGCATCCCTCCCACCCCCCAGCCCCCAACCCATCCTTCCTCTGTGGCAGGGCACTCCCTTTTGTTCTATCTATCCTTTGGGGTGCTGTGGTCTGCAGAAGAGACATTGGGTGGCAATCATGTTCAGTCCATAGACTACTTTCAGCATGCATCTCCCATCCTGGGCCGATCTTCCCAGCATGCTTTATTTGGTGTTCCCTTCTCTGTCTGAGCTGCCTTTGCCCCTAGTGTGTGCGCCTGGCCTCTAAGCCATGGAGTGAACAACCTGGTATTTATCACAGCTGTTCTTGGGTGTTTGGCAGTCTCTTCTCATACACTTTTTTCTAGTCCCCTCACCTATCCTTTTCTTATTTCAATGTTTGCAATAGTTCTTTCTTAGCTCTCATTCACATTTTGTGACAAGATCTTTGCTTGCCACTTAACTCTTCCACAAAATCTTTTTATCACGATTGGTTTCCTCGGGCATTTCAATTTTGTTGATGCATGATGTCACAAGCCCCCAAATGCTCCACATTCTCTTGCCCTCAGCCCCAGAAACTCCAATCTCCTCTGCTGCCTTAGATGGGCAATGTTTTCCTCCTCAAGGCAACTCATGTGGCGCCTCTCCTGTTTTTACGTCAGAGGAGTATTCGACTTTCATATGGTACAGTGAATTCCTACCAAAACCGATCACTAATCTCTGGTAGATTGAGGAGACCATTTGGAGATGCGTAATCTTTATAAATAATTATTTTCATGTATGTGAATGTAGTTCTTTCTCTGATTCTGATCAGGATCAGATATTTTTTTCATTTCCTCCACTGAAAGAAAATCATGTCTCCTTGTTCATAGTGTTTTTTATAATAGGATAGGCTAGACTTTCAGACAGTTGATTCCAGCCTCATGTTTTCCTTTGAGCTTCAGATCTGGATAACTTTTTTTTCCACCTCTTTGTTGAGGTGAAAATACAACAATACAACCATATATGTCTTTGTATTGTTAGCATGTATAAAGTTTTAAAAATATCCCACTCTGACTTTTCTTCAACACTTATAGATCTGTATTCACTGAAGATAATTTAATAATTAATCATTGAAAAATCCGATGAAAAGCAGTGTATGTCACAGAGAATCTGCTATGTTAGGCACAGCTAAATTTGAGGCTCAACCATGTCATCTAGGTACTTTCTCTTACAGCTCCATCCTTCATGGTAACAATAACTATGCCCCACAGTGAAACAAATTCAGTAACAAAGAAAGTTTTTTCTCTGGTATTACTCAGCAAGCCCATGAATTTTCTCCTAGTTTTGGGGTGGAACTGGCTCATGTCCTACTTCCCAGAATTAGGGGACTAGAATTTTACTTTTAAACTAAATGTGGATTTTACTTGTAAACTAAATGTGGAACCGGTTACTCTCCTAAATCACAATCAAGTTGTAATTCAGAAGGTGAGGGAATAAAAACCAAGCATTAGGGAGAGAAACACTTTGTGCTAGAGCCAACAACTCTCTACTAGTCTTAATATCTCTTTCATGCTCCTCCTCACCATCCAGCACAGAACTGTTTATAGTAATTATCTTTATGTGTATTTACCTGTGTGACTGACTAAATAACCTGAACATTGGTTTTAACTATATTGGATACTTTATAAAATTCTTCCAAAATTATTAGAATTTTAAAAATATCAGCTTATGTTTGCTGCTATGACAGAGCCTGGCAAGCTACCCGTGGCGTATTTGATATGCCAAAAACAGTAACAGTAACGGTTCTCATTCCCCTGAAAGAACCTCCAACACGGCAGTGTTGGAAAGGATGAGTAAGGCGAGGCTGCTGAAATCTCAGGGCTGGGACAAATGGAGACCGTTACTGGTGCCTGCTTGAGCAAATCGACGAACAGTGAAATGATAGTGATACAGTGATGTTTGCTGTACTATCAAAGCAAAAATTTAATTCTTAAATTGGATTAAGGAAACAACAGAACAACAAATGGCAATTATTTCTTTTGCTTTTTTTTGAAGGACACTGATTTTAAAATGTAGCAGTTATAGACATGCTCGCTTGTGGGGAGGGGCAATTGAAGAATTCATCCAGAAACATGGCACCAACTTCCTCAAGGATCATCGATTTGGGTCGTATGCTGCTATCCAAGAGAACACATTAGCGAAATGGTGAGACATTTTCGCTCTAATATTGTCAAGATCATACTAGCATCTAATATGATAATGGACCAAATTCACCTGAAATTGATACTTGAATCTGTTAAAAATAAATAAGTTGTTACTTAACAAGAGTCTTTATTTATAGGCCTGCGAGAGCAAATTAGTTTACTAAACTTTGTTCTGTTTTTAATATTCTTTTTACAGTCATCTTCAAGATAGTTTTTAATTTTGATTTTTTAAAACTCCATGTATTCTAGAGGATCTGTTTATTTACATATTAGAGTTTAATTGCTTTTTCTGTTAGTTGGGGGCCTGGGGTGCAGAACACGTGTAGTGCTGGGATGACAATTGCTGACTTGGCTGTGCCAAGATGGAACTGAGGGCCTTAAGCGTGAGCGTTGCGTCTGTTACTACTCAGTCATATCTTTGGGCCCACACATTTTCTTCACGATGTGAACAGAAGATTTATTTTAGTTAGTAGTCAGCAGTTTAGAAAGAGAATTTACTTACTAGATACTCATCTTAAATAAAATCATGAGTACCATGTTGTACTCACAATTTGGAATGATGCATTGAACTGTGATAAACTGTGCATGAGTTCAACAGGATGGCAGAAATCATCTGGCTGCATATGATGATGAGAGTAGTTAGTTTGGTGACAGACACACCAAATAAAAATTTCTTAGCAGATAAGAATAAGGCTCCTAATTTCTCCCTAACTATTCTGCTTCCTTACAGAGTAGACCAAAGGTGTTATTTTCTACCCTTGTGTTTTCACAAGGCACATTAAGTAAAATTGCTGGTGATGGGTATAGGCGGCTGGTTCTACATTTTGCTTTGTCATAGAACATGGTTCTTTGCATTTCTTGTATCCTTTCATTATAAATAAAACAAAAATTTTGTCTTTTAGGTATGTTAATGCAAAAGGATACTTTGAAGATATAGCAAATGCAATGGAAGAGGCAAGAGAAGAGATTTTTATCACGGATTGGTGGTTAGTATTTATCCATGGGGATTTTGTTTGGAGATCTCTGTGTTTAGAAATGTGCAAGTGTTTTGCTGTCCTAGAGGCAAATAATATGAAAACCAGGACTACCCACAGATGGCTTGGCCAAAGTCTCAACCAAAGAACTGTAATAGCCTCCAGTGAAAGGACTTTTAAAAAACTTGGCATCCGAATATATCCTTAAAATGTTTTTAACTTCAATAGTTTTGCTTTTGCCTTTCATTTTGAAGGGAGACCTGCTCAATATTCATTTGTGTAATAATTATGTTATAATGGAAGTATAGTTGCAGAAGTAATGGAACAGATTATTCCTTGTACATTCTTCTTTATTTTGTGTGTTTGTCACCAGGTCTAGTGATTGTATCTCTTCCTTTTACCTTTGAAGTTGGAATAGTTCTGTTTTACCATTATACTAAAGTGCTCTAAATAAGTCTATGACTGGGCAGGAGTTTTTATTTGTGTTTTGAGATACATCAGGGTTCAACTTCTTGTTCCCCTATTAAAGTGTCTGTATTATGATGTTTATGAAACTCGCTGAAAACTTTATGATTTGAATTTTTTAATCTTAAAAATCTAGGTTTTAAGAAATTTTTCCTGGTGTTGATGTAGCTTTTGTAGTCTGAATTAAGTTCAAATTATCCATCTTCTGGACAGTTAAAAAACGTTGCATATGCCAACATTGGAAATTAAAAAGTCTAAAAGGTTTTTTCATTCTAAACTTAGTTGCTTAAAATACTTCTTATTTTTCCCTATCGTGTCTCCTTCCAAGAGTTTCATTAAACATGAACTATGAAAAAAAACACATTTATTATATCCAAAATCTAGATTTTGGAGGTTGGAAAAAGTTGTTAGGAATGTGAGCTCATTTTTTCCTTATGTTTTTGTCTCAGTAATGTGGGGATCTTTCGTTACAGGGCCTGCTTTCCCAATCATGGTTCTGTTAATGTTGTGGCCCAGAAAATTCTTTGTTATGAAGGGTGCATGACGATTAGTAGCGGCATCCCTGCTTTTTACCCACTAGTTGCCAGCAAGGTCTCTGTTTTGATAACCAAGAAATCTGTAGGCATTGCCAGATATGGCCTGCAGGGGCAAAATCTCCTGTGGATGAGAACTAATGATCTAGAATCAATAGAATCACTGTATCACTGTCATCCCATTGTTCATCGATTTCCTCGAGCAGGCACCAGTAACATCTCCATTCATCCTAGCCCTGAGATTTTAGCAAGGGCCACATTGGAGGCTCTTTCAGGGTCAGGGGAATGAGACCCATCATTGTTACTGGGTTTGGGCATATAGATTATGCCACGGGGAGCTTGCCAGACTCTACCATGCAGGCAGGATACTCTTGTTAGCCTGTCAGGTTATTCGAGAGTGAGAACTAGACAATAAGAGGTTGCGAGGCCGTGAATGTGGCTGCGTGCTTCCAGGAGCTTGGTTTTATAGTCTCTGGGTCTTGACCGTTGATGGGATTACACGGCGCTGGGGACATTGGTGGGTGTAACACCTAGCTACTGGAAAATGGGGGATCTGGGTAGAGGAGGCCCAGCCTCGATCCAAGCAGGCTTGGAGATCTCAGCCCCAGATTCTGCACACCTGGGTTCCTCTGCCGGTTCCTTCATGCATGAGGCTTGTCCGAGCGTGTGGGGAGTGGTCTTAAGCATGGCTGTGGCTGGTCCTCGAGGTCTTCAGCTGCCGGGGCTCTGCTTGTAGCGGGGAGGGAATCTCTACGTGCCCAACTCCAAGGGGCCCTGATGAGGACAGACAGGAGCAGGGGCAGAGGCATCAGTAGAAAGTATATTAAATGTTTATATAACATTTTATTCTTGTGTTTATGTAGAGGTCTAAGCTCAGGCTTTTATATTTTTAGCAAATCTTGATTTATTCAGTTGTTACAAAGAATACAAATTTCAGATTTAGCAGTTATTTTACCTAACCATTTGTAAGAATAAACTCAAATCTAAGGTAGTTCTATTTTCTTTTTTAAAAGTTCTGAAAGTTTGCCAATGATGCAAGAGAAAGAAAAATTTTTATTAATCCCCTGATTTTGTGTCTTAGGCAGAAAAGTAGTATCCCTTTTTAGGCTTCTGAGCACTAAAATATAGACTTTAAACATGTTAGGAAGTAAACCCTGTTTTCTCTTTTACTATCAGCATGAAACTGAATTAGGATGTTATCTCTTCTTCATGATGATGCTAGCATCTTATTACAACACCCACTTTGAAATGAGATCTTCAGTGTGATTTTACTCTTCATAAGTGAAGAAATTCTTGTCATGGACGTATATTGCAAAAGAAAACATTCACAAACGTAACAAAGCCCTAATATGCTTGGATCTGTAAGAGTGAAAAGCACAGTTAGAGGGTGAACATACTCATAAGAAGTTTCTAATCTAATTCAAGAGACATCAGATACTTATCTGAAAACTGTTAACGTTTCTCACATAGTATTGTTAGCACAAAAGTAGATTTTCCCATGCTAGGCTACTGGATTCTTGTATGAAAATTGTATGAAAGATTTTCATGTAAACCTTAGACGCTTAAGAAGATAGAATTTATTGTACAGTTCAAGTAGATGGGCCTGGGTGCCTTTCCAATGTTCAGGCCTTTCTTTTTACTCGAGTGATGCCACTTGTCCTGTCCTTTGATGCTCAGTCCATAAGTCCTTAGTACTTATGTCCTAAGTCCTGTCTTCGGCCACCTGCTGGCCTCCAGTGTAAGAGGGCCTGGTCTTGTCCCTACAGCATTCTCTAGTACATGCTTGTTGCACATACTTCTGGCACAGGCGAAAACCTTGCTACTGGGTCTCTCTAGGACTAGACCCCAGCTGGTCCCTGTCATTTCAGCTTTCCTTAGTCTCCTGTCATGGCAGTGTGCCTGGCTGTGGGCAAAATTCTTGCTGTCTGTGCTGTGCTTAAAAGTCTATCTGATTTGCAGTCTTGGGAGTAGGTGAGAGTGTGAATGAAGAGGGGTGAGAAGACGGAGAATGGCTTTCCTTTCTTCTATCTACCACCACCAGCCATCCCATTATCTACTTTAATTGAACACCTTTTGGGTGTGTGATATGTGCAGTGGTCAAATAATCTCTTTAAATTAATTAGTTCCCATGACACTTTACCCTTCCATTCTGCTGTTTCAGTATGAAGAAGGCAAATATAACAAAATGAGAAACAGCCTGGGACCAAGAAGTGCTTCATTTCTTTGCTCATTAATGCCATCAACCATCCATTCATTCAATGTCAGTTCAGTCACATATTCATTCCAGAGCTGTTTAGTGAGCTCTGGGTTGTGACAGGACTGAGCCCGGACATATGCATGAAAAAGAATAATGTCAAGCAAAATTTGTCCTGGAATAGTGATTCAGGAAGTCAGATGTAAAACAATTGATTGGGTAAAAGTCAGTGATGAAGATCAGCATAGCAGAAGGCATAGTGGGAGGATTAGATAGAGGGTTGGTTAAGGGAGCTGGCAGGACATCTGGAAACTTAGTAAAGGAGAATGCTTTGGGTCGGGTGATGGGACGGAGTTGGCCGCATAAAGACTGGTGAATGCTGTAAGCAAAGGAATAGCCAAGACAGATGCATAAGTGTAAGACAGCATGGTACTTTTTTCAGGAGTGTGGGGTACAAATTCACCTCCTTGAGATCATATTGCAGACAACACTTAAAAGACGAGTTAGGGTCAAATTTGAAGGGTTCTAAAAAGCTCAGACTTGACCATTTGAATACTGAGAACCACTGAAAAAATTTAACCATGAAAGTTTTACTCATTTAAAAATGATTATTGATTTATCATTAGTTTAGAGTATTAGAATCACCTTCGGGAATCACCTTCTACCGTGTACATGTGTAACTGTCATCTCTCCCGTTCAACAAAGCTTCAATATTGTCTTCCTACTAAAAATGGCTCTTTGCTCATTCTGCCCACTCTATCCTGCTTTCCCTCTCATAAAACCATAGTTTTTACAGAATCTTGTAATTTGTTTGCCATAAATAATTCCATATGTGAATGAAACCATCAATAATCATCTTTCACTTATTTTATTTAGCAAAACCACCTCAAGATCCTCAGTTTTTCCCTAGAAGCACAATTTTATCATTTTAAATTAGAGTCATATTTCATTGATTATATATCATACAAATTCTATATTCAGTCACTTATTTATAGGCACTTAGGTTGGTGGGCGCTTAGGTTTGGCTATTGTGAATGATTTTTCTGTGAACATAAGGGCACAAATATCCTGTTAAATGAGAGTTATCAGATTCTTTGGATAATTGTCAGGGAGTGGTATTACTGAATCATATGGGAATTTCTGTTTTTAGGTTTTAAAAGTAAGTAAGGTACAAGGAGTGCTCCACTTCAAATTCTCACCAGCAATGTTGCAGAGTTCCTTTCTCTCCACACCCTAGTCAATACTTGTGTCCAATAATTTGGTTATGTGATTGTCACTGATGTGAGGTAGTGCCTCACTATGGTTTGATCTGTAGTTCCCTAATAATGAGTGATAATACATTTTTGTGTCTCTGGATCATCTGTTTGTCTTATTTGGAGAAATGTGTATTCATTTCTTCTTCTTGATTTTTTTCAATAATGTAAGAGTACTTCTATTTTTTCAGCCATTGAGTAAGCTGATTGAATTGGACATGAACTCTGCATTACTTTTTTTTTGCCTTTTTGCGTCACACCTGGCTATGCACAGGGGTTACTCCTGTCTCTGCACTCAGGAATTACCCCCTAGCGGTGCTCAGGGGACCATACGGGATGCTGGGAATCAAACCAGAGTCGGCCACATGCAAGGCAAATGCCCTACCCGCTGTGCTATTGCTCCAGCCCTACATTACTTTTTATTTTTTAATTGTGTCACCATGAGATTGAGTTACAAAACTTTCATATTTGAGATTCAGCCATGCAATGATGAAACGTCCATCCCTCCACCAGTGCACATTTTCCACCACCCACATCCCAGTCCTCACCCTGCCTTTATGGCAGACA